AACTGCCTTGCAGGGAATACTCATGTTTCTTAACTTCCTTTCAGATTATATACCTCCTTATTTTGCAACAAGAGCTTTAAAGGTCATGATAGCATCAGCATGCATTGCTGCACAGGGTAATAATCAGGTTCTCTTAATGAGGAACTATAGAGACCTTAAACTTCTGATATAATTTCTAAAACATAAATGACATAATAATTCAGACTGAGAAAAATTACATTAATTATAAATACCTGAAGAATATGGGATGTGGGACACTGAGCCAAGTTGTACATTGCTATTACAGCAGCAAATTATTCCATGGTTTAACACTATGCCTTTCCTAGAAAACTGAACATGGATTGGCAGGACTCCGGGTGCTACTTTAGGAGAAGTGAATGGACACTATTTAAACCAGCTGTTATCTATCTGCTCAGTATTGATGATCTAATTTGGAAATGGGATTAAACTGCACGCACAGATTAATACACTGCTATGCAGCTGCACAGATTTATGATTGTCATGACAACCAGCAGAAAATGTATCCCAATAACCCTCTACGAGAAGATCTGTGTCCATGCAGCATTATGAAGGTTTATCACTAGCACAGACATACTTACAATTATTTCACTACAGATACTGAGACTGGTATAATCTCTAACCCTCTCTGCATCTTAAAATACCAACTCACAACCAAAGAGAGGCTCATCTTATGAATGAATGCTGAAAGCAATGAAAATCCTTGGAAGCTGCTGGAAATGTGTAATTTTTGAGAAAATATTAGTGTTTTCCAAGTAATTTTCCATGGTTCCAAGTGTGCAAAGTTGTATTTATTTTACAAACAAAACAAAGTCAGTATTATCCCTATACTTCCCACATTAGGCATATTTCAAGCAAGAGATACACTGATTTCTATTTTGGAGTTATCTTTCTTGCTAATTTGTTTTCCCTGCAATAAGAAGAGTCTCTGGTTTTATGCTTCAGGAGAGAAAGTCAGAAAGCTGGAGAGTGTTTTCAGTTCCATTACTGCCAGCTTGCAGAATTATTTAGTCTGTGTAATCATAAAAAATACAGAAAATTAAAAAGGAGAAAATAAAAGCCATTTACGTACTTTACAGGAAGAGTCAGAGGCTGTGCTAAAAAATATTTGCCAAGTGTCCTAAAAGAGAGCTGTCTATGCATGAAGGATTACTTCTTTTCCAAACACAAGGAAGAGCCATGCTGGAGATTTTTTCTGTGTTAGCCAAGAATTTCAAAAGTTGAAGTTTATTTCCCAGCTTACAGTAAAAATCAGGAAAAGAAGCAAACATGCCCCTCTTCCAGGGCTCTGGAATAACACTGGAGGCTACAACTGGCCATGAAAAAGTTGTGTGGTGTTTGCAGATGGAAGGAGTTAATCTTGCTAAGAGCACCTTTTGAACATGTATCTTACAACCACCTCAGTCACATGTGCTTCCCCAGGCAAAGCTCTACAGCTACCACGATGCCATGTCTGTTTGGGTAAGTGCTGTGTATCTCGTGGAGCAGGAACTTGCAGTGGCTCCATTCCATGGAGCATCTCATTTCCTCAGTGATGAAGTCCAGAAAATCCTGGCCATGAAGTTCAACCTACAGGAACCAAAGAAAAATCCTTTTTAGCAAAGGGCTAATAGATCAGTTTATTGCAACGTGGAGGCAGTATGAACAACCAAATATTTTCCAGTGCAACTTAACTGCCTTCAAAACAGAATCAGTATATCAGATGTATTATAATGAATTATTTACACTTGCAATAGTGCAAATCCTGTCTTAGTTTATAAAATCAGTTTTTTCATCTGGTAAAGCTATGGACTCCACAACTGGACAATATTTTTTAAAATATCCCAAAAGGTGTGATTTAAAAAAAAAAACCTTCAGAAAATATTCCAAAGAAGCAATTTTTAAGAATAGGAATATTGGCATTTTCAGGCGTCTTTATTTTCTAGTTCCCACACAGACCTACTATCTATCTATCTATCTATCTATCTATCTATCTATCTATCTATCTATCTATCTATCTATCTGTTTGTCTATGTAATCCATCCTGAAGTCCTTGCCTCTCATTGTGGGATAAGATACTACTTAAAAAAGAAGTATCAGTTAAACTAAAGGCACTAGAAGATGGACGATAATATTTAAGTGGACAGGAAAAATAAACTCCATCAAAGTATTTGCTTTGATGGAGTTTATTTACCATCATGAGATCGCTCAGCTCCTAGAACTGCTATAGATCTGAGAAAATATTTAAAAAGTAATTAAATAGTGCAAGAAAAAATAACATATATATAATTTATGACCTTTTTGGATAGACTCATACATTTTAAATTCAGGTACCTGACGTTCTGGAGCTACATGGAAAGGTTATCTAAGGAATAACAAACCAACCAGAAAACACAGCAGTGTGTCTCCGCGCCCTCCGTGGAGTCACGTGTTTCGCAGGTCAAACACAGGATGGGATTTCTTCGAATGAAAGTATTTTTTGCCTCAGGCTTCCTTTAGTTCTAAGTGTAAGAGGGCGTCAGACAAGACACGCGTTTGTCTCAAAGAACCTGCATTTAAGTAGCAAATGGAACCCACTCCCCGTCCCGGGGGGCTCATACCGACGTACAGCCTCATGTTGCTCCGAGGGTTTTGAAAAAAGCTCAGCCTCAGGAAAATGCGGAATGCTGCACCACTAAGCCCACTGGGAAATGCCAGAATCACGGAATCGTTAGGGTTGGAAGGGACCTCTGGAGACCATCCAGTCCAAAGCCCCTGCCAAGGACGGGTCACCTGGAACAGGTGACACGGGAACGCGTCCAGGTGGGTTTGGAATGTTTCTGTGATTCCTTTTCGCCAGAATACTTACAATCCAACTCACAAACTAGAACAGCAGCGACGAGGTACTACGGAAATTATCAGTAATACCTCCCGCAGCGGCATTTTAGCAGATGCTCGAGAGGGGCTCCGTTCGCCTGCACGCAGCCCCCCAGCGCCCAGTGCCCAGGCCGGCTGGGCTCCCTGGCGAGGGCAGCGAGGGTACTCGAAGGCCGGCTGCCTCCCGCCGCCTCCATCCCCGGCTCCGCCGGGCCCCGCCGCTCCGGTCCTTCCTCTCCCGGGATCCCGATCCCGGGAAGCAGCGCCGCCGCAGCCCCCCGGCCCTTTCCCGCCGCCCGCCATTTCCTCCCCTCAGGCGTCAGCGCCATTTCCCCGCCTCCTGACACCGCTCCTCTCGCTGCCCTCGGGAGAGACACCCGGCACCCGGGAGCCTCCAAGCCCCAGACAGCTCCGGCCCCAGGCGACGGTGACCAGCGCCCCGCTCCCCACTGACACGCCCAGGCCGTCCTGCCCGCTCCCTCCACCCCCGCATCCCGGGAGCTACAGCTGCTCCCCCTTCCCGGTTCCAGTTTTAACTTACAGACAGGTGTAGTTCCAAGGTACAGCTCCCAGGACTCGCGTCACACAGGGCTCCGGGGACCTACAGTGCGTGCGCGTTTAGGGGGAAGAACTCTTCCAATACTGCATAGGGAATATGGAGTTCAGAGAGGTCTGTATCTATACAGACATTGGGGGCAGAGAGGGAATGGCAAGGTGGCTTTTCCAGAGGTTCCACTCCCCCATCAACCTTCCCTCCTTCAGGATCAGCTGGTGCAGCAAGGAGGCACAAATGGGATGCTCACGGATGGGAGCATTTTGGGCTTCAGTCATATGGGAAGGGAATTACAGGGAAGGGGGAAAGGCTCTCAAGCAGAGCTTCTGCTTGAGGGGAGCCTTTCTCCCTGTCCCTCCGAGGGAAGAGGGGACTAGTAAAGGTCCCACCATACTCCCACCCAGGCTCATCGGGAATCTGGAGGGGGCACCAGTGGGCACACCACCAGAGCATGGTTTCTCTCCTACCAAATTCACAAACTGTTGTTGGAAAGGGGAGATCAAACTGAGCTAAGAAATAGCCCAGCTTACCAAACCACTTGCCTTGTTAGCGATACCAAGAAACTGCTCAGTTGATACTGGAGTTAAATTACCTAACAATAGGTTTCACTGGTCAGACACACAGACAGATCCTTCCAGAGAGACTGACTTTGTCTATAGGCATAAATACCTCCAAAATTTCAGCATTATGCAGCTAAGCAAGGAGGCCTGTCCCCTCCATGTTATCAAAAGACGATTTGGCTTTATATTTATATTTGGCTGCTTATCAGAAGCCAAGTATAATACGGGCAGATGGAGCTCATTAGCCCTGTAAGGCAATCCATCTACGTCCTGAGGACCTCGCTGCCACCATCCAAGCGTGCTTGGCCCCGGCAGATGAACCTCAGGATTAAAGGGTGGGCTCAGTTCCGCGCACACTGTGTCTCACCTAAAAAATCCAATGCGCAGGCTGGAAGGTGTAAAGACCTTCCCCGGTTCTTCGTTCGCGAAGACTGGCCATTACATTACATTACATAAATATAATAACTGATTTTATTTTCATGATTAACACTGGGCCACATTCTTCCCTCTCCACAGAATCTCATCACAAATTACTTGCACCTCAGAAACACAAAACAAAAAAAATGCAAGTTACGTTAATCAAATTGTTTGAAATTTTAATTGAGATCCGGGTTTTGTTTTGCAACAGTTTCTCAAAAGCTACAATGAAACACATTCTTGAATGAGACTAAATAAATGCACAAATCCCAGGAAACAGTTCTGCATTTGAACATGGAATAGAAAAGCCTGATTTTAGCCAAGATCTACAAGATTACCAAGTGCATTAGGGAATGTCCTTGCAAAAATTCCTCCATTTAAGGCTTTGAAAATAGTTTTTTAGAAATGTGGAGCACCTGTAACCTCCAGCAGTAATTAAGAATTAGAAGTTCTTAGCATCCTTGAGCATAGAGATAGACAAGTATTTTCTAAACAAATCTAACTTTACAGTAAAGAGATAATAATCATATTAAAAATGAGATTGATTCTTAACACTGGAAGCTGGCACCGTAATTGCCACTGAGTTATTCCTAATGGATGAAACACGTAATGCAACATTTAATGTTTGGTATTGTTTTATTGTCTAATATTGATTAAACTATTTACACTTCTACTTTTCAATCCACAGTTTAGCACTCATACCTATGGCTTTTACTTTTATGTTTAACATATCTTTGTGTCAAGTGTCAGAATGTAATTTCAAAAAACCCAAGAACCTGATACCATATAGACAAATCTCCTCTATATATATGTTTAAACATATTCATTTTCAAAAATGATTTTTTATAAAAGAAGAGTCTGCTGGTAGCTTTTTTCCAATTCGTGTTTGCCACAGACTCTACCAAGTTTTTCCTATTTTTAAGTGTCCCTTTTAGAGTGTCCTGCTGCCTGCATGTGGAATCTGTTCCCTCCCTCAGCCCCCCACCTCTAAATTTAATGTAAAAAGAAAATCAGTAGCTGACAATTTTAAGCAAAAATATAAAGCACTATAACATTACCTACATTGCCTTTTACAGAACTAAATTCTCAGAAACTCTAGAAACTTTTGGGAAATTTAACTAGTCAGTGTTGAAAAGGCACGGGATTTTTGTGCTCAGACACCTCCAGCAACAATGCTAATTTTAGCCCAGCCTGAAAGATCTGAAAATTCACAGGTACGTAATTGCCACTTTCAATAGAACCCCTCAGTTCTTAGTGATTCTTTTGCCACAGACACCCTGCAATACTATACAAGAGTTTGCTTCTACTGCAAGAGGAGAAGAGGTGAAATTACTCTTACATATATCCAGGAATTGTGTAACAATGATACAAGCTATTCATTGCTAAAAACCTAACGAAGCTGTCCGTGTCTGTGGTAGTTTCTGTTCCATGGCATTACACAAATAGGAAAGTTATTTTTCACATATGAGAGAAGTTTAATTGTACATGAAGAAAGCTAATTTTGGTCCACTGGTCCAGCTTCCTATGGACAGCATATTGGAAAGGTGACCACTGACAGTTCAAAAACCAATGTAAAAGTTAACAAAAATAATTTTGTATTTCATTCCTAAACCTGCAGTGTCATTATTTGTCCTAATCATCCACGTTTTCATTCTGTGTGTCAACTAACTGTTGTGTTTTTAAGTCTTCAGCTTGTTCATCGTGTTCCTTATCCGCACCATCTGTTTGATCAGGTTCCTTTTCTTCTGCTTCTCCTTGATCAACACCTTGGTATTCTACCTGTTCAAGGTGTGTTCCATCTATAAGTTCTGCCTGTACCTCTTCCATCTGTATTTGGTTTACATGCTCAACATGTAACTGCTCCACATGAACTTCAGCACCTTGTTCAGTCTGAATGTGTTCAACTTCCAAGTAACTAATTTGCACCTGTTCTTGCAGTTCCTCCATCTGTGCGCCTTTGACTTGATTGTCCTGTATGAGATCCTGGTGCATCTGTTCTACAGTTACCTGTGCAGGATCCACCTGTACCTGAATTACTGGCAGGACATGGACTTGCTCAACTTGCTCTATTATTGTCATTGATGTTACTGGTTCAGCTTCCATAGCTTCCACTGGAAGAACCTCTTCTGTCACCAGTAGTTCTGAAATATTGTGCATTTCTTTGAGATGCCTTCTCAGCTCACTGCCTTGCATAAACCACAAATCACACATGGTACAGTGGTTGGGTTTGTCACCAGTGTGTATCACCAAGTGATCTTTGAACTGATCCCAGCTGTTAAACACGCTGTTACAAACCTGAAACAAAAGATATATGGTATGTTAAACAGTGCCAACAGAAACATGACAAAGTATGGTGCCTCTCTGAGATCATGGCTTCAAAAAGTGTGGCTTCTTGCTACTTGGATTCACAAAGCATAGACATTAGAGGTAAAAGCTGAGAAGTAAGCTTCAGACAAACAGAAGACTTGGTATTGTCATAGCTCTGATTTTAGCAAGGAATTTTTCTTTCCCTTCCCCCCTGCGTGTGTGCTCTGTGGATGGGCCATCAGGTAAAACAAAAGAAATGGCCTGGTCCATTAAATGGCTGAGACATTAGTCTCCTAGCAACGAAGGGGGAGGAGTTGGGGAAAGGCTAGGGTGTGTGGGTGGAAGGAGGTGGGGTTTGGGGGGTTGGAGGTCGGCTCTGGACCCGGAGGGGAGCTGGCTGCAAGCTGGAGACACTGCCTGGTGTTTTTTTCTTTGTCTTTTCCTGTTGGAGGAGAGTTTTTACTGCTGCTCTCTGATTAGCTGTTGCTGGCTGCAGGCCCGGCTCACCGCGGAATCCTCACCAGCTGAAGATCGTGAGTTTTCTTCCATTGGGAGAACTTTGTGTTTTATTGCTGTTTTTGTTTCCCTCCCCCTTTCCCCCCCCGCCCCCCCACCTGGCAGCAGCCAAGGATCTCACAGCGCCGCCTGGTGACGGGCACTGGACATTACAAGTTCTACTCCTCCAGTGATCCAACAGCGCCACCTGGTGACTACTATAGGACACTACAAGTTCTGCACCTTCAGTAACTCAACAGCGCCACCTGGTGAATGGTACAGGACATTACAAGTTTTGCATCTCCAGTGACCTGACGGTGCCCCCTGCTGACTACGGCTGGAACTGCACCAAAGGGTGCTAAAAATTGAACTTTTTAATTTTCTTTTTGCCGGTTTATCGGTTTTGTTTCTTGAAGGGGATTATTGGTGGGTATAGGGGTATTGCTTGGTTGTTTTACTTGTTTTTTTTTTTTTTGTGTTCCTGTTAATACACACATACCTTTTAATAAAAGGCTGTTATTTTTTCCTTTTCCATAATTTGTTTTCCTTCAATCGAGGCCTCTTAATTTCGGATTTATAATTGCTTAGGAAAAGAAGTTTGGGTCTTCTCCTCCTAATCCATCCTCAGCAAAAGACAGTTGTCTCATTTAAACTGGGACAGGTATTTATTTATTAATTTTTTTAAGAATGGTGAGCTACTTTGAGTTGTGCCTGCACAGGATACTTACAAAATTCGTAAGTAGAGCGTTTGAAGAAAAAAAGTGAAAAATTAAAGAAAAATTTATCCTGCTGCCATTTTTTCAGGCTGAAGAGATACTAGACCACATTCTCAACATCTATGAGAGGAAGAGGAAATTTAGAGAAAGCTAGGACATGAAGTAATTAGACCGAAGGGTCACCAATTGTAAGACACTGGATTATTGTATTAATTATTGGCTCAGACCAACTCAAGTGTGTATGTGGGGTGGGAGGGTGGGCAGAGAAGGGAGATGTTGAATTTCACAGAGGTGAGCTGATGCCATATCCCACACGCCGCAGGCTCTTGGAGCTTCCTGGGGCAGCCCTGGAGCAGCTGTCAGTCCCTGGACAGGGGGAGCACTCCCCCACACATCTCGGAAGCCCCAGGCCAGCCCCAGATTGTCTGGCACAACAGGGGCCCCACCTGGGGGTGGGGGTTGCCACAGGGGGCCAGAGCAAATAGAAACAGCAACATGTGCTCTCCATGCTGTTTGAGCCCTGCCACCTTGGACATGTGGGAGCTGGACTCTCACATGACTCCAGTGGAAGCTATAATTCTCCTTTTCCTCTCTCTTTCTTTACTTTTTCTAATCTTCTTTCTTAACATTTTGGATAGCTTGAGACTGGATGGGTTGGATTTTGCTAAGCTATGTGGGTTAGCATGTGCTAAGTCAATGCTTTGTGAAATGCTTTATTTTGGTTGAATGTTACCCTTTAAACTTTTGCCAAGTACTCTTTATTTCCTGAACTTTAGCAGTAAAAGTACCCCCTGAAAAAATGTGTGCAGCTTTTCTCCTTTGCACTGTTCCTTAAGGTGTTAAAAGAACCAAGGGCTCTTCCAATAATCCGGAGGGCAGATATTGTTGGAGCCTTGCACATTTTTGAAGTAACACCCCTTTGGTGAGCTCATAGCTTGGGGCTGGGGTCTTACACCAGTACAAAACAGTATGTTCAGTGCAGCTCCTAGGTACAACTTTGTGTTATACATGTAGGTAAGGAATGTTACTCTCACATTCAGAACAAACTTATCTTTAAGACAAAGGTCTGCTACAGACTAGCATAACAACTAAATGATAAAACAGCATCAGTGAAACTTCTGATTAAATGATTTTATTAGAAACCCAGATTTAGTTAATCTTCTGCAGTGCTTTCTGTGAATAAGATCACTTGCTCTTTTGGAACAAATAAAGCCAATATCCAGCAGTTTTCTTTTACATTACCCAGTTTAACCTCAAACTGCAGCCATTCTGTGAAGTGATTAAGATGACAGCCTTAAGTGAAAGGTGAAAGAAAGAAGGAGAAGGGGGCTTGGGCAGGGGAAGGGACTTAAGGATTCATAGGGTGGGGAGGGATGGGAGTAGGGAGAGAGGGGAAAATAAAGGGGGAAAGAAGAGAGCAAGGAGAAGAGTAGGGGAAGGTGGCAGGAGAGGGGAGAAGAGCAAGAAGGAATGAGAGAGAAGGTGAAAAAAGTGGGGACAGAGAAAAAAGGTGAAAGAGGTAGAAGAAGTGGGGAGGAGGGAAGAATCATGTGAAAGAGCATGAGAGGGAGAGGCAGAGATCAAGGCAGTGCATGTGAGAGCATGAGAACTTGCAGGAGAGCAGGACAGAACAAAAGAAAAGCGTGTGGGAGATTGCTGCAGCAGTGAGGCAGCAAAACAAAAATGCTACAACCATCTTCAACTCTTATTTTCTAGCTCTTCAAAATTGCTTTTAAAAGTAAGTAGAATTTATCTGACCAGCTTTTCAAATGACAGTTACATACAGTGACCAAGTACCCTAACAACCTCTACAGCATTTATTTTGCTTAAAAGACATTACAGATTGCCAGTGACGCATTTGAATTTTTTTGATTTTTAGCTTTTTGTAGATTTTAAAGTATCTCTACAGTAAGTATAGATTTTTAGTACAATTGTATAGTCTCTAACACTTTAGAATAATAGTTTACACTCACTAAATGCTATTTCCCCATTTCACATCAAGTTTTCTACATTCTGTAGGCTTGTTTAGGCTCCTTTCAATGCAGAATTGTAGAAGATAAGTTCTGATTAAGAATATTTGCATCCCAGGCCTGAGCAACAAGATACCATCACAGTCTGGAACCTTGGAGAAGCTCCAAAGACAGTATGTGCCATGAAGAAGAGGAAGATGAAGAAGAAAGGGGTCTCAGGACCCCCGACTCAGTTTCTGGAGAGGCATGATAGGGGCAGGTTTGGGGAGGAACTGGGGGGCAGATAATTCTGGGATTGGATGGACAATACTGTAAAATTGTAGAAACACTGGACACAGCGCACATGCATCTTTTCTATACTCCCATGCTCAGACGGCCTTCAATAAAGACCTGCTCTATTATCTTATCTCTACTAAATTTGCCTTGGGTTTTTTTGGCTCCCAATCTTTAGGCAACACCAGCATAAGTTGGAATTACTTAGAGTTACTTAGATATAAGAATTTGTCTGCGTGTTGTGTTTGAATGTAATCTTTATATTTTACTGAAGTAGCTCTTGGAGACGTAAGGCCACTCTCCTTGCCTTGTTCAGTTCTCCCACTCCCTCAAAGCAGGGAGATATCTAGCCTGGGACTCTGCTACTTCCATTACCTGTTGCAGAATGCAGCAAGGCCCCAGTCTGGCCGCAAGGAAAAGAATGTAAATAAGAGGTGAACATCCAATCATATGTGAAAGCTAGTGGTAAATATAGATATTAGAGCTAAGAATAGAGTTAGTATGTAAGCTTCTAGGAGACAGTGTGTGACTGCAGCTGACTGTTAAGGCTGTTACCAATCATAGAGTTAGGTTACAGAATATTAATTATCTCATTATGTATCCTATATAAGCTGTACTGTATAATGAATAAACAAAGCTTGCTTGATACTCATATTGCGCGTCCCTGCTTTCCTTCGCTGTGACAATTACCCACCTGACACTCGTAGAGCTTCTTTCTTCCCTTTTTGGCTCCAGCTCCAGACTGACAGGCTGTCAGGTGACATTTGAGTGTGCTATTCCTAGCAAAACGTTCATGGCAGTTTGGACATTCAAATGGTTTTTCACCTGTTAAAAAAGACACAGGGATTTGTAAGTGTATAAAACCACCCAGTCTTCTGTCAGGTCTCTCTTCTTCCCCTCTCTCCCTCTTGTCTAGGCTGATAAATATACTGTAAAGACATGGCCAGCTGGATTATTCTACAGAAGAAGAGATGGATATGCCATGTAAAAGGGCAAAAAAATGAATGTGGAGTCATAATTCTCATTTAGAAGAAAACCAATTACCAGTACCATTTAGGGTACATTTTGCTTTTGTGAAAATTAGTTTAATGGAAATTAAGATTACTATTCTGACAAAGTCTCTTAAAGAAATAGCAGCTTTTTCTCACTTTTCATCTGATAATTGTTACAATTAAAAGATCAACATTAGTAAATGTACAAAGTGACACATTAAAGAACTATTTAAATAATATAAACTTTTATTTTTAACAACAGTAACAGTTCATGCTTGAGAGCTGAAACTGAGCTCTAGAAAAAGAAGCTGGCCCATGATGAATAATGAAATAACAATCCATTAGTGTCATAACAAACAAAAACCCCCTTCCTCTCCTAAAATACAGTGAAAAGAAAGCACAGAGGGACATAAATGGGCACAAGCAAGATAACATTCCTTTCAGTTTGGCCACTTCCTTTTAACGTTAGTATCAAACACAGAAGCCAGCTAAGGACAGCAGCAGAGGCGGCTGAAAATGGATCTTTTTATCATCTAAAGCAGTGTACTATCATCAAGTAGTAATGAACAAAAGGTCTCTCTTCACTAATTCCACCATGCACAAACACACTGAAATTCAAGCAAATTAAATTACAAGAAAACTGGAAGAGTGCGTTTCTTCTGGAAGTCTGATAATTAACCTGGGGAGGTACAACATCACTACTGAAAGGAACTGCTCGGTGAACTCCATAAGAGCCATTTCAGTGAATACCATAAGAATCTATCCTAGTTAGTTTAAATGCCTGCATTTTCAGGAATGCAGTAGTTACTGGATATTGAGGTGGAAAGCAAATAAACCCACATCTTCAGAAATATTCAAAAGTTCCTAATTATCTTTTCAAAAGAAATCCACAATTCTCACTTAAAACACCTGAAAGCTAGACAAAGATGTTTAAATGACCAGAACATTGCCCTCAGTGGTTACAAAAGGATAAATTTTTGGACACTGTTGTAAGAGTAATGCAGAGGATGCTGAACTGCTTTCAGTTTTGCAGGTCAAAAATCATGAACTATGCCCAAGCAACTAATTGGGTTGGAATTAGATGATCTTCAAGGTCCCTACTAATGTAAATGTGTCATTCTACAACAGTACAGAGCAGGGGAATACCTGCGTGGATGAACAAGGAGCTTCTGGACAAACTGAAACACAAAAAGGAAGCCTGCAGAAGCAAGGACAGGTAGCCTGGAAGAATACAGAGAGGTTGTCTGAAGAGACGGGGATCAGGTTAGGGATGAAAGCTAAAGACCGCTTAGAATTAAATCTGACCAGGGACACCAAGGGCAACAAGAGAGGCTCCTCTAGATATGTGGGTGATAAAAAGACTAGGAAAAATGTGGGTGCTCTCGAGAGGGAAATGGGAGACTGGTTACCTGGGACATGGAGAAAGCTGCAGGTCCTGAGGGAGCTGGTGGAGGAAGCCACTATCCATAAATTTCAAAAAGGTTCGGCAGCCTGGTTAAGTTCCCACTGACCAGAAAAGCAGAAGCATAACTCTTTTAAAAAACAGAAATAAGGAAGACCCAGGGAACTACAGGCCAGTCAGTCTCACCTCTGTGCCCAGCAAAATCATAGAGGAGATCCTCCTGGAAACTGTGCTGTGAAGACAGGCTGAGAGCATTGGGGTTGTTCAGCCTGGGGAAGAAAAGGCTTCAGGGAGACAGTATAGCACCTTCCAGTATTTAAAGGGGGCCTACAGGAAGGCTGGAGAGGGACTTTTTACAAGGATGTGGAGTGATACAGCAAAGGGGGAATGGCCTTCACCTGAAAGACAGTAGGTTTAAGTAAAGATACTAGGAAGAAATTGTTTACTCAGAAGTTAATGAGGCACTGGAACTTCAGAGAAGTTGTGGATGCACCATGCCTAGAAGTGTTCAAGGCCAGGTTGAATGGGGCTCTGAGCAACATGGTCCAGTGGAAGGTTCCCTAGTCTGGTCCCAGGGGTGTAACCAGATGATATTTAAGGTCCCTTTGAACCTAAAACATTCTATGATTCCATTTCTGCCGCAGTGACTATTTTCATGTAATTTCTGGCGTAGTGACTGATCAACCACAGGATTAAATACTTTTTAGTTAATTTTGTCCCAAGCCTTTCAGTTTCATTTTAGCATTCAACCAGTGCTATACAGAATTCAGAATTTAGAAAGCCTGTGACTGAATGGGAGTTTTTCCACTGACCTTAGGAGTTAAATGGTGGTATCTGTTTTGATTTTGAGCTTAAGGCTTTGTTAAATGCTAAGCTGGAAGTAATTAGATTCCATGTTAGATGTATTAGATCGATATATATTTATAAAGTATTCTGTACCTTCTGTGATATGCTAACTTCCTTTGAACCAAAAATACTTTTTAGCAAGAGAAAACAACATATACGTACTTTGGGTTAATCTGGTTATTTGCCACAAACTGTTTTCTGAAAAGATTTTGGTTAAGTAGCTTGTATTGGGATTGCTCGTAATGGACAAACACTCCCTGCTTCATAGGTTATAAGGATTTGCCAAAAACTATTTATAAACTGAAGTTTTAAGAGGCTATTTGGAATAGACTGGACACTGCCATATATCAGTACTCAGCAGTCCCATACACAGATACATTTTAATTAAATTAAGACATTCTAATTAAAAGACTTTAAGAAGCTGAAAAAGAAATAGAGCTGCTACCGTCCATTAAATTTTTACTGATGATTCATGACTGACATATTAAACAAAAACACCTGGAAGATCAAGACCACATTTATATTACAGTCAGAGTTATCTGTGTCATGCTCAGTATCTGTTCAGATAGCAGACTTTTCAGTGAGATGATGTCCCATACTATAGAGAAGAAAAAAGGAGCACAAGTCACTTTGTACTCAAAAAATGCTATCTAGATTTCAAAGAGGCAGATTTCATAATCAAAAAGTATACTAGAGTGACTAGAAACGTTCTGCTCTTCTTAGTGGTTTTGCTTCATTAACGAAGAAAATTCAAATCACAGATGAGGTGTCAAGAGCAAGGATAAAACTTTCCAAACAAGATGATACAAGAGAGAATTTTTTGAGGATATTTTATGTCTAATGCATTAATAGGCATTTGCTAAGAAGTTCTGTAAGATAAAGAAACTCTCCAGACTGTACTCCACGAAGAAGCTCATGATCAGATCATATTTCAACAGAAACTTTTATCAGAAAATTCTGAAAATAAAAGTAGCTCAGTTTGGTACTTATGAAGAAAGGAACATGCCTTAAAAAGGTATTTTGAAAAAAAATCTTTAAGATTTAGTAGACTTGACAGAGAAGCTGCATTAGTGCCTTCTTTTTTTAGGTGCATATTTTTAATCAAGTCAATCCTTCAAAAGTTTACATCAGTGGAAAACAAAAAACAAACAAAAAGACACACCAGCATTTTAGTTGTAACTAGAAGCCAAGTATTTCTAGCACTCAGGAATCATGTGTTTTCTTCAGCATATTCTCTATTTCCCCAAAACATGCAAAGCCCCAACATGTGAGAGCAAAGGCCACAAGCCCTGGACTGTCACAGTGCTCTTACCTGTGTGCTTCCGCAGGTGCTCTTTGAAATGTCCAAAGTGGTCAAACTGCTTATCACAATACTGGCATACATGTATTTTCTTGCCAGGTCTTTGCTTCTTGCTGGCACCACCTTCATCAAGGTGGTAACAGGTGAGGTGCTGTTTCAAAGCACTCTCTCGTAGGTATCTTTTATTGCATATGTCACACTTGTAATTCTCAGTAGAGTGTGTTTTCATGTGTTCCTTAAAATGGTAAAACAATTTAAATGAACGGTTACATTTCTCACAGTGGAATAAATTGTTCATGTGTGACAGCTGAAGTTCCACAATTTCAATACCTTCTACCTGTTTGCACGAGGGATCAGTTGCACTATCACCTTCTTCTTGGACCTGGCATTTTCTCTCTCCCTGACGATACTTGCTGGTGATGTCTGCCAAAAGAGCCAAAGCAGATTCATCTGATGTACCTGTTGTCTGTATGTACTTTATGGATTGCTCTGCAGAAGCTACTTCTTCAAGTGTCTCAATGCTGTCTTCCACTTTCATCGCCCCTTCAGCAATCTCAACCTCAATTTCAACAGGTTCTGATTCTGCAGATGGCAGTGTTTCTGTGATAACGTTAGAGGTTTCAGCGATCTTCCTCTTTTTTGGTTTATTTTTACCTTGCGCTTCATTTGATTCTAAGAGTGATGAATTTTCTTTGTTCCTGAAAAGCATTTGCATAAACATAGTTAAGATCCATAAGCACTGATATAGGAACTCCTGCCTAATAATGAGCTTCTGCACCCAATACTCTCGCCATTTCTCTAAGTGGAGTGATGAATGACCACTTAATCTGTGTGCAAGTCAGAAGCTAATTTGTCCTTGATCTACACTCCTTAGTGTAGTAAAATAGCACGGTTAAAGCTGCTAAGGTGTTTTAAGTAGCTCTGCTCAAATGACACAAAGCACCTATCAAGAAGAGAGGCCAATTAACCTAATGACAGAGGCTTATCTAAAAAAATAGTGAAGTTCTGTATTTGGAAAGAAAACTCCCCCAAAAGAAAGAGTTCTTTGGCCTGCCTGCTCAGAAATAAGGTTCAAGTCCCTCCTATGCTCTTCAATTCTTAAGCTTTGAGTGTGTGCAGCTTCCTGTAGTGCTTAGACCTTGTTTAAAAACACTACAGCTCTGACTTCACACAAGGGTTATCACAGCATCTTGTATTTCAGGAAGGCACACAGCTAACAGCTGAGGTAAAAGCCAGCAGAATGAGTATTCTAGTTTAATTTTCTGGGCTTGAACACAACTCCCAGTTCTGTTGCTGTTCTTACTGCATAACACACTTCCTACCTACTTCCATAACCCTCCTTCCTACAAAATGTCATCTCAAACATAGACAGAACTGAGCAGGTTAGAGCTTTCAAGTCATCCACTGCACTTCTGTGCTGCGGGTTTAATTACTGATTATCAGTTTGGGAAATGAGTGCGTATCTCCCCTCAAACAGACTGACTGGGGTAAGCCGTGCTTTTACCCTCCTTTACAGCATGATGAATCCTTACACATAATGTACTCCTTATTACTTCCATGTTTTCTAGAAATAGGAGACAAGACTTGGCCCAATATCTCCAAGTCATATGTCAGAGATATGTGACTAATGATACAGTGCAGGACACAGTTTATCGAAGTGCACCTTACTCTAGTTACACACAGGGAAACAGAGCGGCTAAACTAAGTTTCATCTAGCCTGGATTTCTGATGTCTACAAGATGATAGTTACATTGCACATTACTGCAAGGAGCTCTGGGATTATGTACCAAAAGTTAGCAGTGCAGCATGCAGAAGGAATGAGAATGTGAGAGCACTTTGTGGAAGTGAAAGGGAAGAAAGGGGATAAAAAACATCATGACGGGACTGGCACCCATTTTTCTCATGCTGAAGTTTGGCAATGGAGTACAGTTCCTGGTACAGGATAAAGGCTGCCAGAGCAACATTTGATTAAATACTGAACCCAGATAAAACTGAATACAACAGTCACATTCATTTAAGAAGTTTAAGAGGTTAGTTTTGCAGCAAGAAGTTTAAAGATCACTGCTTACTCTCTCAGAAATAGCAGAAAGCTGCATGAAATACAAACACCAGCACAGACTTGTTAATGTGTTCTGATTACCTGGGGCACATTGTCACTGTGCAGCCAGTTGTCAGTCAGTTGTGGGCCTTCAAGGCAGCAGAAAGATCTGGTATCAGTTACCGCAAAGACACAGCCCTACAGTTTTGGCAACATTTATGAGCCATGTCACTTGCCATTGAGTTCGAGCCCAAAGAACGTGACGTTCTTTTTTCAGCCTGTATATTTCTGACATGATAGTAGAAGAGTATATGGTTCTACAGAAGCTAAGGAGATTCCAGCCTAAGGAACAGCACTACAAAATACTGGCAGCCAGCTCTTACAAAAGGATTCTTAAGACTATAAGTGTTGGGAAGAAAAAAAGAGACTGACATGCTCACCTGATTTCAAGTGCTTTGATTGCTTCTAGCATCTGTAAATACTCAGCTGCTTTCCAAACATCATTTGCTTCTTCCTCACCTTGGACCATTAGTTTTGCTGTGTAGGTGAACTCAATTAGGTGACGAAATGCCATGTTACTTACACCTGTATACAGAAAAGAGAACAACAGTTTCTTTTAGCAATTCCTCAGTCTCATCTACCTGATGAATCTTGCACACTTGCCTGCACACTGTTGCGATCGCAGTACTGTACCTCCAAGTTTCATAAAGATGACACCCTTAAAAGGCTCCACAGAACCACTGAATGATTTGGGCTGGAGGAGAACATAAAAATCATCTAGTTCCAACCTCACTCATGTTGGAATAGAAAGTCTACTACAGAAAAATGTGAACATTATGGAGTTATGCTCTGACAAAGATAAAAGGAAGAATAAGATGGACAAAAAGATGTTTGAATAATACATAGATTTAAACACAAAAAATGCTATCTCTCTTTCAAGAGGTCGCTGAGCAGCAAGGTACTGAAGGCTGAAATACTGCTCCAGGAATTTGCTCCTTGCCTACCACACACGTATTGCTCAATGTCTATCATGCTCTTGCATGCCAGCCAAGGCATCTGCCATTGGCCATCACTGTCAACCTTTGTCATCTGACCAGATTGGCTGTTCGCAGGGAAAAGATTTTATGTCACACTACTGGTCCTAAAAACATACACGATCTGCCTGACCACCACTAGCCATATATTAGGGGAAAGAAAGGAAAAAAAATTAAAAAACCACCCACATAATCTCACGCTTTTTCCTCCAACAATTTAATTCAAGACTTTTTTAATTTTATTTTTCATTTTTCTTCAGGGGAAGTTTTTTTTCGAGTGGTCATAGCTGTCTCAGAACAACTCAAGAAGTAGGATCTAGAAAGCTAATTGATATGACCAGTCATCTCCAAGTGTTCAAGGCCAGGATGGATAAGGCCTTGAGCAACCTGGTCTAGTGGGAGGTGTCTCTGTCCATGGCAGAGAGGTTGGGACTAGATGACCTTGAAGGTCCCATCTAACCCTTAACATTCTATGATTCTATGTACGTAGGCCTGTACCAAGGATGCTGTATTAATTACCAGCTAGAGCACACACCTCTGAATGTTTTTAAGTGTACAAATCAGATTACCTTCAATCTCCACCAAAGGCTCTTGAGTGAAATCTTGGAAGAATTTGTGGAAGAACTGGCTACAGGCAGCAAGAACAGCCTTATGAGCTTTGAAATGGTGACCTGCAAAGAGAAATAAAAATTTTGGTTTAGGGTAACACCTTCCTCCCTCCATAGTGCAGAATAAGTGTAGATGCAGAAAAGTTTAGACTGCACCCAGTCTAAACAACTATTCCACTATTTCAGCAGCATATAGTCACTGTGTCTCCATAAAACATGGGATACTACTGCAGCTATCCTGTCCCATCTCTTGCAGAACCTCGGTGACATCTCTTATCTTGCTAAAGCTCTGCAACTCAACCAGATGGAGGACTCAGTCACACCAGTGTTTCTCTTTTCAAATATTTAAGTTATGATATCAGATACCAGAGAAGCAAGAAGTAAATCTTATTTCAAGGTATGGTTTGTTTTATTTAAACATTTATTTAATTTATTTCTATTTTACAGTATTTGTAAAAGTTCTCTGCATGAAAACAGTCAGCTCAAGTCAGAAAAAAATATTTTAATGTTTTGGAAATCCTTAGACAGCATGTCAAGTATAGCACAGCAATTTCACGGAGGGCTTCTATCTGAAAATATTTAGCCCTTTGTTTGGAAAAGCAGAAGCAAAATTATTAATCACTGCTGGAGTCTCTGCTGGCCCTGAGATTTTAAATGAAAGTCTGCAAGTAACTCGCACACGGTGCAGAACCAGGAACTTGTTTGTGGCCCAGTCTGACTCTGACCCGTGACAAACTCAACAGCATCCTACCACAGCTTTCAGAATGCCCGGTATACCAGCTGGTTCCCAGGCCTGTACATACCATCAACAATCAGGGTGATATCTGTAAACTGGTCCTGCTCACGTTGTTCATTCAGTCTATCCAAAATAACTTTATAGTGTTCAGGGAATTCCTGGATACATTCCATTGTTTCCTCGGCTTCCATGGCAAAAGACCTGATCTGCAAAAAAATACAGTGTGAGAGTAAAGATACTGTGCCACTTGGTAAATACTGTGCACAGTCAGGTCTTTATACAGACATAAACTAACTAGAACTTTGCATGGACTATAAAACCAATGGAAACAACAAATTGTTCCGGTAACAGGTTTTTTACGTGATGTGAGCTGACAGATAAGAAAATGGCACAGTTACTGACAGGGAATGCTGTCTTATTTAGACACATGAAAAAACAGTCAAAGTGGATAAGTGTATTTCTTTATCGTACAGTTGCAGCAAGGATCTACTATCCTCAAAGCAAATACTGCAGGAATGCAACATCTTCATAGCTAGTTATTCAACACCACAGCAGGATAATATCAATCTTTATAAAGTTACTTCTCACCATCCCACCACTCCACCTGATAGAAGAACAGTTCTTAAAAATTTCATATTTAAGTCACATTTTGCTCCTTGTGAACACAAGATGTTTACTTCCTTCAAGCATCCACGTAATCAAGCAGCAATTTTCAATTTCTAAGTATGTTGGAGTTGCCAGGGATTTCATTTACTGTCACACCCAAGCTTATTCATCCCTCCTACTTACACTTCTTCCCTGTAAGGTGAAATAATTCTTTGCCAGCCTTTCTAAAGAGACACATATGTAATCTGATGACCCTTCCTCCTTTACTTATACAATAAGCATAGGTGGCTATAGCAGTTGCAGAGGATCTCAGGCATAAAGAGGTTTAGCAGAACTCTCTGCCTGTGAATGAGATTCAGCTGTCAGTCTGCTGCTTATGCAAAAGAACCTCAGGAGAGCATCCAAGTGCTTCAATGAAAGCACTTCACAAATCACCCCCAGGCAAAATTACTTCATATCTGTGCAGCAACACTCATCTTCAACTCCCACATTAACACGGCTTACACTTAGAATGACACAGAAAAGAAGAATAATGGAGCTCCTATTTTCACCACAAAACATACTCTTTCTTGCATCTCAGGAAAAACCGCCCACAGAGGAGTCATTTTGCCAAGAGAACGAAATAAGCAGAGAACAGGCAACCACTTAGGGAAATCCAACTCCACCTCCTATTGCTGTGTTGCCAACCAGGGAAATGTACACAAAAATTGGATTCGTTACCTGGAGTGTAACAAGCCAATAATTAAACATTCCAGAGAGACACTGATTATCTGTTTCAGAGTTGAGCAAGCCTGTGGTATTCCACAAATCAAGCACACCAACTATCAAAACTTTTTACTATTTTATATTACTATTTTACTGTATTACTATACATTATATTACTATGCATTTTAGCAAACAAAGAAATTAGTGTTCATTGGCTACAAATTACCTAGTTCTCTTATTAATTAGTATTTTATCTTCTACTGGTTAATGATCCTCTTGCTTCTCATGCTAATTAATCCACATTCTCAGTCTTTCTCCTGAGTCCCTGGGTTTCTTGGGTTGGCAGTCATAATCACTCCTTGGCAGAATTACTTTTTACCCAGTTGGAGCAGATTTCAGCACAGCTGCTGAGTTGGCTTTATTAGTTTCTTCCTCATCTTGAAGGTTCCTCCCAATGTCCTTGTGGCCCATAAATTCTGCATTCTTTGTGTCCACTGTAAGTGGGCATCCTTTTTCCCAAGCTTTGTTAACCTCCCCCCTAGGTCTGAAATCACTGAAGTGTGTCCAGCCCTAAACCTTAACAAGGCAGTTCTACCAACAGGTAATTTGTTTTTCTAATGCCTGGACATCACTTAGAGCTTGTTGGCTGTTTTCTGTTTCACACATTAAATCTCCCTTCTCATTGATTAGGCTTGAAATGTTTACAAAGATCAAACATCAAAGAACATCCTTTTGTAAGAAATTTTTACATATTCCACATTTTGCAACAGAAACACATGTCAGGGTCTTCAAGGAGGCAGAGGAGACCAGCCTGCAGGGGAAGGTGAGGTGGAAGGCAGTGGATGCTGCTGCTGCAGTGACTGCACCTCATCTGTAATGATGGGTCTGAGGCAGACAACCAGCAGCTCCTGCTTTCCTCCACCATCTGGCATTTCACATAAAGTCTCATGTGGGAAGCTGTCAGCCACTTCACTGTTTAATCCTTTTCACCCATTTTTTACACATCATAAAAGGGTAGATGACTTGCAGTTAGAAGCATAATTCCTTAAAACAAGCAAGATTTTGGTCTCCAACTCTCATGATTTCTACCCACCCAAATGTGTTTTAGTTTCAAATTGTTTGTTTAGAGGGATATCCCAAAAAACCCACTAAACCCTCAAAATAAGAGAGTAACCTCACCCTAGCAAATCCAAGATATTTTAAAAAGGGTTTTTTCAGAACTCTTAAGAAACATGACTAAGGAGACCTACAACTTAAGTTAGCTAGTTCATTGTCATAAATTTTAGCGGTTTTGAGTCCAGGCCTTCCTTGGTAACCAGGTTGTAACCAAGGAACCAAGGCCATGTTCCCAGTATTCCATGTGATTTTTACGTAAACAAGGGTATAAATAAGAAGAGAGAGGAAGCGCTCACTCTCTTTCTTCCAGCGGATTGAAAGTGAAGGTTCTCTGGTATCATTCTGCCTGGGTGAAGGAGTGAAGCCTGGTGTGTGCCTGGTTAGCCTTGGGAAGCGGATAGTGCTGGCGGTTGTTGGTGCAGTTCTCTGCTATCTCAAGGAAAGTATTTGGGGTTTGTCCCTTTTTCCCCTTTTCCTTTCCCTTTCTTTTTCCTTTTTGGGGGATTCTGTGTAGGTGATATCTTGTATATAATTCTAAATATATATATAAATGTGTGTTACTTGGAATTTGGTTTGGTTTGGGTTCTTTTGATTTTGTATAGTCTTTTCGGTCTGTCTGAGAGAGGGAGAGTGAAGGTTTTTTCCCTGTGGTCCAGGCTGGGAACCAAGTCCAAATTTACACAGAACTAGCAAGAAGCGTGAATTTACTGTGTATCTCAACAAAGTTGCAGCATTCATTGCTTACTCTCATGTTAAAAACTCAGTCATATTACAGAAGAACGCCAGACAGAACAGTTCATGTCCAATAGGAGCATGACAGTTCTGGAGGAAAAAAAGAAAGGTACAGCTGAGAAAACAGAACAGCTCAGGAAGATGGACAGAAGCGATACAAGTTCCCTCTTATGAGTGGGCTCACAGATGAAGGATGGAGACTGGACTACTTCAGTTGTTCATCCAGTTTTCTTGGACCACTCGTTCAATTACTGACCACCTTTCCAGTCTGTACTCCTTTAACGTCACATGCATACGATTTGCAGATTTTTATAAAACCACTTCAACAGAGACATCTTATTACTACCACCCTCCTGGACTACAACAGGAACTCCTGGTATTTTAGGCAGCAGACATTTTCCAGCGCACGGCTCCCATAGGGCAGCTCGGCGGGGCTGATGCAGTGTGCCAAAACCACCGCCATTTTAGGCAAGGGGGGCCTGGGGCGTGTGCGGTGAAGCAGCAGCAATCCCTCGTGCGCTGAGCTGCACGTTTCTGCCCAGAGCCACCGCCCTGGTAAGCACCGTTCCCGTTCCCTGTTTCCGTTCCCGCTCCCTGATCCTGCACTGCGGGGCCGGGCCGCGGCCCCCGCGCCCGCCAGGGGGCGCCACCGCCCGCCGTGCCCCGCCCGCACCTCCCGCCGCCCGCGGGCTTCGGGCCGCGCGCCCCGCGGCCCCATTGGCGGGCGCCTTTGCCAGTCAGCGCGGTCCCCGCCAATCGCGAGGTGCGAGCCCGGCCAGCACCGCGCGGAGGAGCCAATGAGCGGCCGCCGAGTGCCCGGAGAGGGCGAAGGCGGAAGGCCTGGCCCCTGCCCGGGGCCCGCCGGGCACGACCGGTGCGGGCGCGGTGCGAGCGGCGCCCGCGGGCGCGAGGGGCCCGCGGGGGAGTCCTAGGGTGGAGCTGGACCGCCGCTGGCCCGAGCCGGGAGCTCCGCAGCGCCGCCGCCTCGTTAGTCCTTATTACGTCATCAAAGCGCGCATTAAATCGATCCCTTTTCAATTCCCGGCCGGGCCGCGGCCCGGCGGTGCGGTGCGCCGCGGGGTGGCGAGACGGTTCCGCCGGGGACTCACCGGGAACAGCTCCTCACCGCGCCACTTCCCGCTCCGCCGCCGCCGCTTCCTGCTGCCCGGCACGCTGGAAAGGGGGCGCGCGCCGGCCAATCCCGACTCGCATTCCCGGCCTGCCCCGCGCTCACCTCACACGCGACAGGGCGCGCGCGCGCGGTGGGGGCGGGGCCCGGCGGTCCGGGGCATGCCGGGAGTTGTATTCTCTGACTGCGGCGGGAGGGGAACGGCGGGATCAGGGACACAGAGCGGGGCACTGAGTTCAGCTGCCCTGCTCATACAGGGCCATCCCAAAGCACACTGCAGAGCACTGCGTCCAGGCAGCTCTGGAATTGCTTCAGTGTGGGAAGCTCCACAACCTCTCTGGGCAATCTGTTCCAGTGCTTGGTCACTGCACAGTAAAGTTCTTCCTTGTTCAGTTTCTGCCCTTTGCCTCTTGTCCTATTGGTTGGCACCGCCCAGAAGAGCCTGGCTCCATCCTCTTGGCACTTTCCTTGCAGATACTGATAGACAACATATTGCCTGAGGTCCCTTCTCAATTGTCTCTTCTCGAGACTGAACAGGCCCAGCTTCCTCTGCCTTTCCTTGTAACAGAGATGCTACAGTGCCTTGATCATTTTTGCAGTTCAACTTTGTTCCTCTAGCCAACAGGGAACACCTGTGTCTCCTCTTCCATACGCACTTTGTAGTTGTATTACAGTTTTTTATGTGAATGACCACTTTCCTTAGTGTGGAACGCCAGAACATTCTGGAAGGCATGAGGTGGTGGGGCCACATGCATCCTCACAGACAGGATGTACACTCATGAGATTGCCTTCAGGCCATGTCCCTCCCCTCTGCTGCAGAGCCACTCTTCCATGCAGTTCCATAACACTGTCTTATTTTATAATTTAGATTGAAAGGTGCTCAAAATGAGTATCATGAAGTGGTGTCAAAATATGCAAGTGAAATACTGCCCAGCAAGGCTTCTGTTCCACTCTGTGGAACACCACTTCTGTGATGCCCACCTTTGCCCCTTCAGCTCCAAGGCTTCCCAGCAGAGGAAGGAAAGGCCCAGGCAGCACCCTACAGCTCCCACGGAGCTCCTGAGTTATTGGGCTGACACACCTTAGGAGGAGACAGCAAGTGCCACCAGCCCTTCTGCCACCCTGTCTAAGCGCTGGTGATGGGAAACTCGGGTTTGTCTTCTAGGCTAGAGTCTCCAGAGGCACTCCTGGTCATCCAGGTTTCACGCCCTGTCACCAGATGAAAATGTACTCATCCAAATAAACCAGTATAATAACTTATCAGAACAGACACAATGATCACCCCTTTGACAGCTTCTGTGTCAATGCTGACAACAGAAGAGCTTACACACGCAGTGGCTCTGTGTTCTAATGAACTCACCTGCATTAATGCCTGCAAATGGACTTGTTTATGTATTCCATCCCTTTTCCAAGGTGCCACACCTACACCATTACTTTTGCCATATTCTTCTTCCACTAAAAGGATTAATGTCTATGAAGTTAGGGCAGCTGTTCAGCACAGAAATCCTACAACATGAAACAAGCATAAATAGTAGATATTTGGTCAAGTTCAAACTAATTTTTATATACTCTTTAATACACAGGGTCCTAAGACTTTGTGCAGCATTTTATAATACAGTAATACAAGAAAGTTTTATCAATACTGATGGTTTGTAAAACAACGTTAAAAAATAAAATTTATTTCCCTTTTATTTGTTTATATAATTATGGCCTTGCTAATGTAACGATGCTAATTGTTCTTACTAGTAGATCTGCTCAGACAGTGGTTTTCAATCTAGGAGTTGCCTGCCACACTTGTTCTTGTTTTCTGGTACACAGCAGCACATTAACAACGTTGATGCCTCCTGCATTAAAAAATATGTAAAAGTTTGGTTTAAACCACTGGAGATCTAGTTTTTAGTTGAAGAACTGTATCTTACAATAACTTGTAATTCAAATGAAAATACTGATAAAGTTACCACTGTAGCAGAGTACAACATAAGAATAAAAAATTTCCATTCCAGCACCTTCTACCTATCCAGACAATATTGCTGACTTGCTTGTCCTTCACTATTGTGTGGTTTGTTCTGCCCATTTACTTTTTTTCCCATGGCATTTTCCACTGTGTTTCTTTTTTTTCCTATGGCTTCACCCATCTAATTTTACTGTGAGGTTAGATGGAAGCTTTTAAATGAATAGTTCATACTTTGTCCTAGTAGCTTTTCAAATATAAAATTAGAATGATTAAGCTATAACTCTTGAGGTTCCCCTTTTCCTTTCTCAGAGATGGGTGTGCTGTTTCATAGCACTACCTCTAGGATTTCTGAGAGTTAATGTTACAAAAACACACCATTTAGTTGTAAATCTGAAAATTACCTGCTTTACAGTGCATTTTATTTACATGAGGAAGAACACGTTAGGTTCTATTCTATTAGTTTTCTATTAGTATCTCCAGTTCAACCTCTATTAGCCATTTATGTGGCTAAAAATTCCCTATGCTTTTCTCCTTTTCCAGAATCACCTCAATGACACTAGAGAATCCTGCATTTATTAAGATAACCTGGTAAGTTTTCTAGACATAACATTCAGGTGAGTTTGGGAAAGTTACTGAAGCAAACATGTTCTCTTCCAAGGCAGAGATCATCTGCCCAAACTGAGTGTTGTGAGCCTCTCCTCTTCACAGGGGGAGCTGTGACGTAGCAAACAGAGAAAAATTAATACTAAACTAAAAGAAGAAAAGCGAGAATCATACATTCCCCTTCTTTAATAAAAGAAACACCGCTTTATCTGAATAAATGTAGGAATTCACAAACTGCAGATGTGAAGCCAAGAATTCAGAAGGTGTGTTTATGTGCAGCACTGAGTAGATAACTATTTTCCAAAAGCAGTGATTTAGATAATAACTGAAGGCCAAAAGGTACCATTAGCTTAACTAGTGCAAGGCTATCCACCTAGCAACCTGTGGCCTACACCCAGCTTGTTGAACAGTTCTGCCTGGCTCCTCAAGTAGTTTTGAAAGCTGCTTAGTGCATTCACAGCACACCCAGATCTCCCACATCAGAACCAAATTATTCACCCAAACAGCTGCAGAATTGAAACAGCTGCAATGGGGCTTTTACTGGTCTCTTCTATTAAAAAAAAAAGTATTACAAAATCAACTGCTCATTCCTGTAATGTTATCAATCATTTGCAAGAAATCTTCTCTTTATCAGACAACTCAGCATGTCTCCATTGCACAATGACTTGCTCTGTGCATGAAAAGGCTTTACTGTCATGCCTGGAGCAAGCCAGATGTGTGCTATTATGCAAGAGGAAAGCAATTCTGTAGAGCCCCTTTGATAGGTATGCCCAGGGAAAAAATATGAGTGCCTGTTTATAAAGTCTTATAGGACAATGAACATGGGTTGTGCTTCTGACAGAGAGCTGTTCTGTTAATCCTCCTTACTTCTTTACTATTTCCTGAGGGAAAGGAAGATATAAGGAGTTAATGAAAGTCAAAATGATAGTGGCAACTGCAAAATTAAATGCTTGAAAACTGTAATGTGTAGAATTGTGGATTGAAGTAAAAAATCCTTAAACCTTGCTCCTGTGACACAAAGATGTCAGCCTGTTCCTCTGTTATCTTTCTATTTTCAGAGGAAATGCGCAGCTAGGACAGGATGGGCATTCAGTATTATCTGCTGACCTACAAGCTCCATGCCAGATCTTATCTACTGTTGACAAGCATCATATTTTTGTGACCCCAGAGAGATCAGCTGACTACTGAAATCAGGGAGAACACTGTCTGGTGAGCACTGCAAGAGAGGGTGGTTCCATTCTAGTGTTCTTATCTAAATATTTTCTTTTATATGATTTTAAATATCTGGAAGAAGAAGCAAGTTGAAAAACCTACTGTCTATCAGTTTCATAAACCATAGTGATTTGGATTCTGCAGAATTATGAGAAGCATGCCTAAACGTATTGTACAGTGGCATAGTGCTTAAATAACAATAGACATTAAGTACTTTGCTATTTTTTCCTCTTTTTAACCCAGATTTTAGAATCATAGATATAAATATAGAATGGGTTGTGTTGGAAGGTTTCTTTAAAGATCATTGCCCACTATAAATTCAGCAGCTTTGGCTAGGTCAGTACTTGTCCAGGAAACCTCTTAAGGAAAGCCTCTATTAAAAAGTTATCTGTGTTTATTGTTAAAATACCTATATACCATGCCATTCTTTATTGGTATATATTATGCATCATGAGTAGAAATAACATACATAGATATTGTTAATAAAGATTTTGTATATGTAGTTATTACGTCTTCACAGGTGACTTAGATTTTTTACCAAATCCAAATCTTTAATCTGATTTGCAAAATCATTTTGTGGGGTTTTTGTTTTATAAGCAACAGTGAACATAGCACATCAGGACATGAAATATGGTGGCTTTTCTAGCTCTCTTTTGTAATCCATGAAAATCCCCAGAGTCTGGAAGGAATT